TATGCATTGTGATACTCTCCAAAATGGCGGAAGACAGTAATTCGGGGGAGAAGAATTGTTAAATAAATTATATTATTTTTGTTTTGTTTGCGCATAAAAAGTATTCTCGTAGCTTCGCAAAACTGAAGTTGAGCCACTGATGTCACATGGACTGTTTTACCGATGACCTTACTACATTTCTGTCTGGGAACATTTCAGTTGCGTTGCTGTCTATGCAGGGTCTGAGAGCTCTCAGATTCCATCAAAAATATCTTAATTTGTGTTCCGAAGATGAACGAAGGTCTTATGGGTTTTGAACGACATGAGGGTGAGTAATTAATGACAGAATTTTCATTTTGGGGTGAACTAACCCTTTAAATATCTGACATAACTGAATATTTACATTATTATTATAAATTTTTACAATATTTACATAACTAAAAATAAATATTTATCTCATTAATTCATGACTAATTCATGTGATGTAACAAAACACTACCATTCCCACACACACACACACACACACACACACACACACATACACACACACAAATTGGTTCTTTAGCAGTTCTTTGTGGTAGTTGAGGTGCTATATTGCACTGCTCAGTGGTTCTTTGGCTTGTAATCATAGGGAACCAATTTAAGTGCTATATAGCACCTATAAAGAACCTGCAATGGTTCTTCAGCGGTTCTTTGGGGTGTTATATAGCACCATCTTCAAAGATATAGGTGCTATGTAGCACTTAAAGTGGCTCCCCTATGATTACGAGCCAAAGAACCACTTTTAGGTGCTATTTAGCACCATTTGTTTTTAAGAGTTGGGGTCAGTAAGATGTTTTTTTTTCCTGAAAGGAAGTCGTTTTTTATTCAGCATGGATAGTAAGCGTTACATTTGTCAGAAGTGATTTAATTTAATGTTACAAATTATTTCTACTTCAAATAAATGCTCTTCATTTCAATGTTCTATTTATTAAAGAATCTTGAAAAAATGTGAGACAGTTTCCACAAAAATATTAAGCAGATCAACTGTTATCAACATTGATAATAATAAGAAATGTTTTTTGAGCATCCAATCAGCATATTAGAATGATTAGATGAAATTACATTTTAAAATATCTTAAAATGGTTATTTTAAATTGTAATAATATTTCACAATATTACTGTATTTTTAAACTGAGAGACCTCTTTTAAAAACATTCAAAATCTTACTGCCCCCAAACTTTTTATTGGTAGTGTACATTACTGCTGTTTTCCTTTGTTTTAATGACTTTGAATAATATTTTCAAAATTTAGCCACACATGCTGTCAATATAGCCATATTTAACACAGTTCATTGAGTTCACCATGATAATATAAAATATGGTGTGAATAGGAATCCTCAGTATGCTGCAAATCAACTGTAAACACATTTCTTGCTTATATATTCTGTCTCCATCTTTACGTTATTCTCTCAGGTCTCAGTCTGCGTGTGATGACACCTCGTCTGAGCTGCAGCGAGTAGCTGCCCTAGAGCCTCAGGATGCACCGTCCAGAAACTCCTTTAGAGGACGAGGAGCCCTGTCCAGGTTCAGCATCCATACAAACATGCACATACACATTCTCACGTGTGTCTGGATAACAGCTTTCTCTCTTGTGTTGCCAGGTTGGTGAGTCTGGTGGTGACTCTGAGAGACTGGGCACACAGGAGTCTGATAGAGGAGGAGGAGAGACCCGATTCCTTTCTAGAGAGATTCCGGGGACCCGAAGTACGAGCTCCACCCAGTCGAAGGAGCAACAACCAACCAGACGCCAATGGAAACACTAAGGGCAACACAAAGTAATATTACAGTCGTGACACAGATACACTTTTGTTTATTTGTCTTTTTTTTTTAAATGGAATGACAAATGGACATTAAAAGTGAATAATCTGCATATAGTCAGAATAAATTTGATAACTAGCATTACAAATTTGTGTTGTTTCACAGGAAGCAATGGGAGACATTTATAGTTTCTCCCTCTGATGATATTTACTACTACTGGCTGTTCTTCATCGCTGCTGCTGTGCTTTATAACTGGGTACTGCTTGTGGCAAGGTGCGACTTTTCACCTAGTCGTTCTCCTTTACATATTCATCATTACCCTTTATTAATGTGCACTTAATAAACCATGAAGAGAGCACAGTCCCCTGTGTTGGAGTGTTTGTTTTCTGGCGTAACTAATTGCTACAATGTTGCAAGGCTCTTTTGTTACGCCTGTCAGCCTTACACAAACAGAACAGCCCTCTGAGACCCCTGCTTGACTAACTGTACAGATGTGTGTATGTGCTGGTTATCTATGTACAGTAGTTATGGTTCTCATGTTCTTTCTCCTTCTTCCTCTGTGTGTACAGAGCATGTTTTGATCAGCTGCAGACTGAGAATCCTGTTGTCTGGCTGGTGTTTGACTATTTGTGTGACTTTGTCTACATACTGGATTCATGTATGCGGCTAAGGACGGGTATATACACACATACTCAAAATTCCTGATTTATACCACACAATCCCAATAATTAGATTCATTTAGTAACTCATTACAGAAACATTATTTAGGAAATCAGGCTTCATATTATCATTGCAAAATCTTGTATTGCATTGCATTGGGCAGGAAATGTAATAAATTGCAGTTATACATTTGATCAGTTAATGCATTCACTGGGAATTGAACCCATAACCTTGGTGTTGCTAGCGCCATGCTCGGCTGTATGAGCTACAGGAATACAAGGAAAAATCAGTGCTGAACACAAATAAAATGCAGCTAACTCTATAAGTTGTATATATAAGTATATAACCTATTTTATTGGTTGTATAACTAATTGTGACTATTTTAAAATAATTAAAACTTTTAAAAGACAACCCTTCCCAAATCTTTTGTTTTTGACATCAAAGGCTGCGCATCAAATCAAAACGTTTAAAATCAGTATTTTGCCACTAGTTCACCTGTAAATTATGCTGCCTTCATGTGCTATTGGAAATACGCTATTTCCCACTTATGAAGTCATGATTACGAGCTTGTCGCATTCAAGTGCTTTGTTGTCAGAAATAATAAAATATAGCATCCCACTGGTTAACAATCATGTGAACATTCATCGCGCTATAGATAGTCTGGAATTTTGGTCAAATACATGCTTATTTCCAGTGTTGAGGGTAACGCATTACAAGTAATGCGAGTTACGTAATCAGATTACTTTTTTCAAGTAACTAGTAAGGCAACGCATTACTTTTTAATTTACAAGAGAATATCTGAGTTACTTTTTCAAATAAGTAACGCAAGTTACTTT